ACAAAACACACAGAACACTTCACGACATGGCGGCAGCAACAATACAGCAGCGAGAATAAAAGTTACGCCTTCTTTCTTTGCATGAACATTTGGGCAGCGTTATGCAAATCTTCCCACATAGTGACGTAGACATGTGGGGGCGCGTTAGAACCAGCCGTTTCATGTAGGCATGGTTGACTCTTAACTTTCATAAAGAATATCTCTTTGTATTTGAGACTTTAGTCTTTGTAACTTTACAGATCTTCTTTATGCACCAAGAGCTTGTAACACTTCAAAGAGAAAGGAAAAATTGAAAGCGCATCATATGACCCCTTTAAAAAAAAAATTTTTTAAAGTTAACATCTACATCAGCTTACCTCTCCAAAAGACTTCAAAAGCTTCCTCTGTTGACTTGACCTCAACCTCAGTGCACCCGGCCACATACATGTTGTGATTTTGATCTTCACGCAGTATTTTGGATTGGGGTGGTCTGAAATGCGAAATACAGTATGATAACATTTCTACATTTCATAACTACAGAGTAGGCAACAAAGCTCAATCTCTGCATGAGCGCCTACCAGCAAGTAAAACAAAAGCACAAGACAAAGCGCATACAGACACCCTAGAAGCACTTGAAAGCATAAGCCAGGACGCGCAGAACAGCTACACAAAGGAAAGAATATCATTATCAAAAGGCAGCAAGTCCATCTATGAATGGATTTCACTGGCCACGTACATGAACTCAATGTTGTTTCTCAGAGGTGTGCCTGCACCATTCCACCTAATGAAAAAACAAAATACATTTATCTATAAACTAAGTGCATAGATAACTAAATGAAAAAAATATTAATGGGACTAAACCTAAATCAGTTTTGTGTCGGTTCTCAATGTAAAATTTTAATCGAGTAAATATTTAAGTAAAAAAGTATTGGTTACCCACAAATTGGTACTACGGACACAACCAATCAAAGTAGATCTGATTTTTTTTTATATAGACTATCATTCAAACATTTGAGGTCGATACCATTTTTTTGAAAGAAGGCTCTTCCTGCTGACAAAGGCTGTATTTATTGAATCAAAAATACAGTAAAAACATATTAGCCAACTTACTTGGGCTTTATTGGGTCAAAGGGAGTCTCTTCCAGGAGATCATAGATATAGTTGTTGTAAATCTCAATGTAAGAGACAAATACACTGTAGCTGCTATCTTCATCCACTCCACCTGCCTTACAAGCCTCCTCTGGACTGATCATGTCAGCAAACTCAGGGTCAGTTCGCCTACAAAACAAGAACAGCATATAAACTCACAAATTGCCTGATCTGTTTTAAATTAAATATAGTAACTTTAAAGGTGCAATAGGTGATTGTCTTCAGAATTTTTTTTTTCTTATGCTGGTTGAAAGTCTCTTCACATCCCAATAGCAATCATTAAGTTAAGTGGTCTAAATGTATTTGTCTGTATTTATATATTCTGTGGAAGGCGCAGGATCAAGAAATGTTTGTCCAATCAAAACGCTCCGAGCGTTTTAATATGCTTTCCTACCTGCCTGTCAACGTATGTATTAGCACCCGATCAATATGATCCCTACAGTGTTCATTGCTCCCTACTCCCTGAGCGGGGGAAATCCGTTTAAGTTTACATCACTTCGGAACATGGGCTGGAATTGGGAACTACTGATGTAGCCTATTGTAGGAATGTTGTCTCTGGTCTGTGAGCGTAAATGCATTCAGGGGGCGTGGCTTTGGACGGCGATTGCAGGGGGGGGGGGATTACTTGAATTAACCTTGTTGTTGGGGTCTTTGGTACAGATGTCTGGCTGTCTCGCTTCTGTCGGTCCAAGAGCGCATCTACCTGATTCTGTACCTCCATGCCATTTTTATCGTCAGGCTTGAAAACCTGATGTGGGAAACATCAAGATAGCGCAAGGATGGAAAATTAATTTTACATAACTGAATAAAAGTACTTGATGAATTTGCTTACATATCTCTTGGCCTGGTAGGGGCCGATGCTGTTGAAGATCATGTCGAGTGAACGTGGGAGCAGCCCACCTTGACCAGGTGAGCCAGTCATTGTGTAAGTTTTACCACTGCCAGTGACACCGTAGGTGAACAACAGACCTAGTTTAAAAAGAAAACTGCTGTCAGTTGGAGTGTTTTTAAATAATAATAAATCATCATCATCATCTATAAGCACACAGAAAAGTATACTTACCATTTTTACAGTGAATGAGGTCTTCTACTAGAGGTTTGGCAACATCTGCAAATAATTCCCTCTGTGTCGTTTTGATTCCAAACACTTTTTTGAAGGAATATTGTGTCTAGAAGACAATTGTTCATCATAGTTAAAAGAATTATAACACATCAATATGTAAATGAACATCTAGGAAGTACATAATGAGTTGTATTAGCAATATTTCAAAGTATAAAAATACAACCAACAAACCTCCAATACTTAATTTCATTGTACAAAAATGAATTGAAAAAAAAAAAAAAAAAAAAAAGTGTCTTGACTAACTGTTCCCAACCACTACAATATGGAAATAACCATAACTTTTACTGTACATGCAAAACAAGTTTAAAGATTCTTACATCAAAATACATTTACTTAAAAAGCAAAATGACATAATATGTCTTGTTTTGAGAAATTGTGAGTTTATGCTTAAAACGAACAAATATCTGCCAGCGGGCTCAGAAAAATACACTTAATTTAACTAGTTTTAATACCCCATTAAAAGATTTGATTAAATTATCTTATTGTTCAATTCCTCAGAAAACAAGGCTTCATATCTTTATTTTGCATCTGCAAATTTAATGCCACAACTTTATGAATTTAAGACTTAAGGCCTGTTCACACCAAGGACGATAACGATAAAGATATAGTTCCAGAAATCGTTCTCAATATTAAAGAATAGCAGAGTCCACTCCACAGCTATAACGATAAAGGCACAGAGAAACAACATAATTGGAATCACTTTCAGAACATTTTTTTCCAGCTGATGAACGATAAAAAACTAACAGCCAACCACAATCAATCCTGCTATGATGAGCTTGAGCGTTTAAAGTGGCAGAGTGTACGCTTGGAATAAACAGACAATATCGTCCGCTGATGTGGATGCTAATATAGTTATCGTTCTTGGTGTGAACAGGCCTTTTCAATGTAAGATCTATTTAAGGCCTTAATTTATGGAAGGGCAAATTAACACCAAGACCCACATAAACCCTGCATAAGCTTCAAAGGGATAGTTTTGTTTTCATGTTGTTCTAGACCTTTACCTTTCCAAGCAGCACAAAAATTATACAAAGTTTTGCAGACTCAAAACAGCAAACGAGTCATACTGACCATGTTTATGGTGCTTTTACTGGCACTTTTAAAGTTTGGCAACCCTAATACTCTTAAACTTTCATGATATAGAAAAGTGCTACCAATACACAAAATCTGCCTTTGTGTTGCACAGAAGAATAAGTCAAACAGGACTGGAGAGGTATGACATAACTCCTAATACAAATTAGAAGAAAATTGTATTTTAAATCATCCTAATTGGCAATATGAGAGCAGACAGGCACTCACCTCTTTGAATTCACCATTTCTGTTGGCTTTGAGCCCATCAGGGGCATGTAACTGAATGGTGGTGTTGCTTATAACCTCAATACAGCATTCCTCATCTTCTGCACCCAGTGGCCGCACGCGACAATACACCTGCAAACACATATCGAATTAATATGCTGATCATGATTGTCATTATCCTAATGAGAACAAAAAGTTACAACATACTCCGACAGGGTCCTTCTGGTTGTTGGAAGGCTTTTTTGGAGGAGGGCGGCGGGTGGTCTTGCCCTTCCTGTTACAAACCGAAAAATTCATACATCACTCAACAAACAAGTATAGTTCAAGTAAAACGAGCATGGTTGAAAGAGAATCCTAACTATCTATACACTTTCGGAGTTATGATAGGAAAAAGCTAATTACGTCACTGATTTTTACCAACATAAAGTAACGTTAAACAACATAACATAACGTTAGTTGATAATAATAGGGATAACAAATAATCAAACTACTGATATAAACAGAAAACGTAAGACGTAAAGCGGGATTATGAACTGAGCCTAAAGTACAAACAATGGATTAATAACGTTAAGTAAACGCGACGGGCGGTGAGGAACACTAACTAGTTAACAAATGTCTGCTAAAACCACTCAAAGACTTTCATATGAAAACAAACTCGCTTATATGTTAATAAACGGGTCTTTAAAAATTCGTTATCAGTCTAATATAACTACAGTAGAAAATAGGTATAAAACACTTACGCTTGCCTAATCATGCCGAGATGTTTTAGTTTAATTCCGCGACGCCGTTGCCTTCTTGCCCGCATACAAAATTCGAAGTTCAAACGTTCCCTCCACTGCGTCAGTAACAGATTTTTCAAATGTGACCAATCAGCGAGCTCAGCCACGCTTTAGACGACCGGATGTCCCGCCCTAAGCTCCGCCTGATATTCTGTTGACAATTTCCGGTTTATCCGGAGAAACCGCATACGTAGCCTTTTTTTTTTGCCGACAAACAACTGTCTGCTTGTGTTTAACGGTTACTATATAAAAGTATTAATATAAAAATAGTATATAGCATATGTTAAACTAAATATATAGTAATAATGTTAAAATAAACATATATAGGCCTAGTAATCTACATTATATAAAAAAATATATAAAAACTAAATCAAATAGTTTATTGCAGTTTTATTTAGTAAAAATAACAAAACGTTACATATTAAGATTTATTTATAAGAAAGATAAAGATTGTACACATACAGTTTTCAAAAAGCCTGATTATAAAAAAGGCACTTGTAAAAACGATAATATATCTGATTCATGTGCATCAAAAAAATGGAAATTGCTTTGAAATTGTGCAAATGTTAAGCATGTGATTAGAAGTAGAGAACACAAATGACACACTCATTACAAAAACATTAATCAAACATACAAACTAAACATAAATTATACAGTCTAAATAAAATGTTCTCAGGCTATTCATGAAATTTTTTCCATTGAACACATGGCTACAATATATACAACATATATTTACTCAGGTTTAAGGGTAACTAACTTAGCTGCCCTGAGTAAGCTTATCAAATGTCACAATTCAAATTAATTTGTCCTTCACACCTCCAGTAGAGAAAAGTCCCAGACTGAAGACATATACTATACAAAGGCCGCTGACCACACTAAAGAATGCGGCTCCCACAGTGTTTGAAAGGGTGACTGGTGGCAAATGAGCATGAAGCCACTGCTTTCATGTAGCCATGTCAAGTTCAATGGCAGTCATCTGGAAATGTGTGCCAATAATAGCGAATACGTGGAAAAGCTGATGACTGTGGCCTGTGAAGGATGCATTAAAGAACCACAGTTTAGAATGAATAGTTTACTGAGGTTTGAAAGCATCATACCAGTATCAAACAAACGGAATTCCTGATTCTTAGTTTAAAGAGAATGCAGGTATCTGTAAATGTACCTATGTAGTCAAAACTGCCAGGAGCCAAGCGTTCAGGCAGGTGTGTGGCAAAAAGAAAGCCAGTGAGGACAGCCAATGACGTGTGCTGACAGTGAACAGTACTGGCCTCATTAACAGTGCAACCCTCACCATTGCACACAAAGATCTACAAAAGAAGGCAGGAAGTCCAATCAAAAGTACTTTAAATAAATAATCTTTGTTCAATTTATTCACATTTCACATACAGCCAAAACAATGAGTTAATTTTTTCCCCAAAAATTTTAAATAACCCAAAACACTTACTCTATAAAAGAGAGGGATGTTGTCAAAGAGATATGGATAGATAAAGGCGATTATCCATAGACATTTACAGAGTTTCTGATTTAATTTCCCAGAACACCTAAAAGAGAATACAGTTTATTTACTGAATTTTTTTTTACTTTTTTAGATGTCAAGATTAAGCTGCAAAAGTGAAATACAGAAATGACCTTTTAATGCTGTGATAATTATAATCAAAAAATGGTAAACCAAGTCTAAAAACAAAGAAATACAAGTGTTTAGTCCTTAAAATGTTTTTTACCATTGAATACTATTGAGGTCAAAATCCACAAAGCAGGTTAGAATATACCAACTTTTGATTTATTAATTACTTATCCTACCTTGAGTAGCAGGCCAGTGCAGTGGAGATTACAGAGTTGACAACAGCTATAGGAACATAATATTTGTGAAATGTGCTATTAACCCATTTATCTGGAAATGAGTAAGAGTAGGTGATGGCAGACCCTGCTGTTGATCAATTACACAAATAAACAAAAAAGTTAGGTAAATTAAGACATAAGTATATAACTATATTTTACCCAATAGTTCCTCTACATACCAAGGATGTAGAAGCTGAGTGCTCCATAATCAAAGAAGAAGCAGATGTGCCTGGCTCGTTCTGACATGGTACTGAAGGTATGAGCACAGCTGGAAGCAAGTGGGTACACACAGCATGACAACAGGAACACCAGAAAGGGCCAGGCGAGAGGATCCTTCACCAACACTACCGTAAGAAAAACCTTGCTAAAAAATCTATTTCTTTACATTCTAAAAACTCAAGCATGCATCAATAGCTGTGGTACAGCAGAGGCATCAATGCTCTTGCAATAAAAAGTATTTTTTTATTTTAATATTAGTAAATATTTGCAAGTTTTCAGCACATTATAAATAGTTTGAAGTTTCAATTAAAGTGGCAACAATTAAGTTGATCTTGCAGAAGGCTCTATGACAAACTGTCTCAAGTTTTCTGTAACCTCTCTAATGTTTTACTCTACATGAGTAATGTGGAGTTCAGTCTTCAATACAATGAGTTTAAAGTATAATTTAGTTAATCTTGTAATAATTCTTAATTTTGTCTTCATTTTAACATAAACTAATGTAAATGTACCAAAAGATGAATGCTGAAAATTAATTTACCATGTAGGCAGAAAATGAGTCCAAATATTGAGGGTTTCATTTGTTAGCTGGAAAAGACTAAGCACGCAGTCTTTGGCAGAGCTGCATGGGTGGCGATACCCTGAAATTATGCCATCCTCATGGAAGACCTATACAATGAAACAAATAGTCATTTGAAAATCATATTTATCAATTTAATGTATCTGCTTTAATAGTTCATGACTGACATGACAAGTATACAACCAGTATACAACACATTCAACATTGCAAAACAATGCCATTTCTTGCAAATTAACATCAGAATTGAAAAACTTACTTTTGGAACTTGGTTGATGGTGAACACTTGAGGTAGCTTGATGAGACTGAGCATAGTACAGGAAGGCTCCAGAAATCACAAGGTGGAGAGACCGTCAGCCATCTACAGAGTTCCTTGATTCTTTGTGACTGCTGGACTTCTTCTCTTTAGTGTTCTTCCTTATCATAATATCTCACAGTCCAGTCACCAACTCAGGATGTTTCTATAAAACTCCTCCCTAAGTGTGCCTATGGGAGTTAACCATTTCAATACAACATTTGAAATCCATAAATCTTAAACATAAAGCTGTTTATGTGGAAAAACACATGAAAACTAATTAAAATGTAAGAACGTGTTGCTGTTTAACTAAACACTTCTCCAACAGCCTTTCATTAAGCTGTTATGAGCATCAGTGCAATAGACAGGGTTATCTAACCCTAGTCATAAACCTTGTGGCTGCAATTTTACCTGCCTGAATAAACACAAATTTAATCATTAAACTCTATTATTCTCATATTTATTCTGACTGAAGAACGGCTACCTGAAAATCACCATCTCTACCTCAAAATCAAAAGTGTTAGTAGAACATTAACTTAGACTGGGAAGGGGAGCTGAGGGGGAAAAAAATCACATAAATCTTTACCAGCTGAATATACAGTAGCTTGACACTTTTATTGTTAGGCAGTAAAACCTTCAATAGATTAATCATTGTTCAACAGAAAATTGAGGGATGTGTTAAATCCTAAAGATAACATGTGACTGGTGTATCAGAGCTCATATTGTGGGAAAAATGTATTCCATAGAATACATGAATATAAATAAACCTCATATTGGGTCCCTAATCTTTGTTGTGTGCAAAGAGCGCAAAAATACTTAAACTGATAATATAACAAGTAAATGTAACTAATTACCTGCACTGGGCAATATCATTATATAGTGAATAATGATGAAGTACAGTTTTGTTGCATTTGGCGGCTACAGTAAACTAGAACACTATGAACTTGGCACAAAAAAGTCAAAGCATACATGTTTATGTATGGAAGAAATGTTTTAACTAGTGAATCCAACCAAACGTACTTAAGTACATTACACGGTCACGGTGGTGGAAAGCAGTGATTGTTTTTAGCATACGCATTTCAAATAGGCTACTGATTGTTTTACAGAGAGAGAAAAAAAGCTGATATATTACAAAAATATTATTTCTGTGCACACAACAGTTTATACACTTTTAAAGTGAAGCTCATCAATCATAACGAATAACACGTGGATCAAGTTTACACTGAAAATGCCAGGCAAAATTCTTGAATAATTATTTGTCCTTCATAGCGGTTGTAAAATATAAATACTGCGAATCAATGATATAGCCTACCTAATAAAATGCCTACCTACCATTCATTAAAAAACTTAATTTTTTCCCAAAAGACAGCCGTTTTTATTAATATAGGCCTATGCATCTCAAGTCTTACCTTTAGATGTATATGTGCTTTCGACGTTTAGTGTGTTAACTGAATAAACAACACACAGTGAATGTTTGATTATTCCCTCCTGACAATGAGTAGCGAGTGGGAGGGGAAAACATGCCTTTCTTTGTTTTCGTTGGCTGTAGGTCCCTGTGGGCTTCTGTGATTGGCCAGCAAACACTCATGAACGCGCCGTATCCAAAACGCTCCAAGCACAACGCTACGCCCATCAAAGAAGTGGTCTACTTTTGCAGATGTTAGTAGTCTCTTTTTTTTTAAGGTTTTTTTAATCTAAATTATATTGGTTTATATCAAATATTGGTTTGAACTGAGGCTGTGATTAACATTCTATAGAGGTTAAGCACCTCTTTCACTGACCAATTGCAGTTGAGTTTTTAGGCACTATGGTGTGCCATAGCCAAGCCACATATGGCTTCTCAGTTGTGTGCTATCATCTGGGCCATATACCTCAGAAAAATTGTCATCCAAAAGAAAATTCCCTCCCATTCTAAATCCATGGCAAAACATATACGGTTAAAGTTTGGCCCATATGTGCTCAGCCATGCCATACCTAGGCCAAATGTGACAGCTATCAGCCACATTTGGCCCAAACGTTCTTGCTATCTGGGGTATATTTTCGTATCTTTGAAAAATAACAATTTAAATAAACTAAAGGCATTTTTTTTTTAATAATAAAAAAGCATGTGCATGATTTGCTCAAAGCATGTGAATACTTGCCAACATTTAGTGGCATCTAGTGGATACATTCTGTATTGCGCGCAACGATTACAAAACAGTCGGTTTCATACGTCACTGAATGTAGTCAAAATACATGTTTGTGCACGTGTAGCGGTGTTAACTATGGAAGCCCGTTTCCGCCACTGAATAACAAATAAAAAAGGTTATTGCGACTTTTTATCTCACAATTCTGACTTTTTTTCTCGCAATTGCGAGTTTATATCTCGCTTTTTAGGCTATAGAATATGCAATCCTACCGTCTTTGACACTTCGGTGAAGGTCAATCTCAGTAACAGGAAACTAGTTTATATCTCGCAATTCTGACCTTTTTTCCTCAGAATTGCGACTTTATTTCTCAGAATTGCGAGATAAAAAGTCGCAATTCTGACATTATAACTCGCAATTGCGACTTTTTATCTCACAATTCTGACTTTATTTCTCAGAATTGCGAGTTTATATCTCGCAATTCTGACTTTATAACTCGCAATTTCGAGTTTGTATCACGCAATTGTGAGAAAAAAAGTCAGAATTGTGAGATAAAAAGTCGCAATAATATATATATATTTTTTTTTATTCAGTGGCGGAAACGGGCTTCCATAGGGTTAACCTCTGAGGATTTCCCGATCTGGCGGTGAATGTAATGCAGATCGTTTTACATTTGCAGGTAAGCAAGAAAGTGCATGATTCCAGTCGATCGGATATCGTATCTACAGTTTATCTTTATGTGTAACTGGTGCATTTCACATGTTTTGTTGACCTCTTTCAAACAGAAAGTAGACTTTAAATGGCGCGAGGAAGGGCTCGGACAGATTCCTCTGCATTGAAGCAGACGATGAACGTCAATTCAAAGACAAGAGCGAATGAAGAACAACATCAAACACTCTCCAAGAACCTGAAAGCCAAACAAGAAGGCAAGACAGCATAAAAAACGGGTGAGCAAATCTACGAGTTATGAGTAATTCCAAAGTTTTGTTTAAATATGCAAAAAGTTTCATTTATGAATGGAAAAAACGTTTTCCATTCACCAACCAGTCACAAATATACATTTTCTAAAGAGCTAAACTGTATTTGTGTAATGTAACAGAAACCTACATACAAGCAAGTGTCAAATGGATTGGAGGTCAAAAGAAAGTAGGCCAAACAAGTATCCTTCACTACATTTACAAAAGCTCCTTGGGACAGAGCATCCATGCTCAACTGCGCCAGGTGATGACAAGCACATAACACAGGCAAATATATATGCTATGGCCTATTGCCAATGCACTGTGCACTTTATAGAAAATTTGTGCAAGAACCCACCAACTTCAAACATTACAGTACTATGTAGCAACTCTTCCTTGTGTTATAGTGTCTGCAAGAGCCTTTTGTACGCTCACTTGGAACCTACAAACTTCACCGCACAGCAAGTCCCTTTGATCGGAGGGTCACTTGCCTGGAATGGCATCCCACCCATCCCACCACTGTTGCAGTGGGCTTCAAGGGTGGAGACATCATCCTGTGGGATTATGATATGCTGAATAAGAGAACCTTCATACAGGGGGTGAGATTAAGCTGAGCTGAAGTGAAGAATATACTGTTCAAAAAGAAGACAAAATATATTTGGACACTTCCTAGTTGAATTTGCAAACATGACTCAGGAAAGTGAAGTTACTCTTTAAAAAATGTCTAGCGTCATTTGTTTGCAGATGCAACTTGGTTTAATATTTATCTAATGCAATGACATACATACAATTTAGGTGTCAGTTAAGTGTCCAAATACTTTTGGGATTTCAGTAATATCAAATTACTGTGAAATGTATACTGTTTTCCTCTGCAGTATAGTTTACTAATATACACAGTTTACTCACTTAAAAATAAATAAATAAATGCATAAATCGCTAAATAGTATTATATACTATTAAACATCTTAAGTAAGAGTACAGTACACTCTCAGAAAAAAGGGACAAAACTGTCACTGGGGCACTTTCAAAAGGTACACATATGTACCATTTAGGGGTAAATAAGGTACAAAGATGTACCTTTTAGCTTTTGTAGGATATCATGTGAAGATGTATTTGTGTATAGTTTTAATGCCACAAGTGTCACTCTCCCAGTTACTGGTACTGCTGTTTGGACGTGTCTGTTAGTCGTCAGATGCTTGTGACTGGAGATAATACTGGACGACTTCTTCTGCTTGGCCTGGATGGACATGAGGTAAGTGAGGGAAATGTCTACATCAATTCTCATAGCCAAAATCAAGAATAAAGCTGTCTGATATATCTTTTTTCAAAAACATTTAGATTTTCAAAGAGAAGCTGCACAAAGCCAAAGTGACCCATGCAGAATTCAACCCTCGTTGTGATTGGCTGATGGCTACATCCTCTGTTGATGCTACAGTCAAGCTGTGGGACCTCAGAAATATTAAAGACAAAAGCAGTTATATCACTGAATTGCCTCATGAAAAACCAGTCAATTCTGGTAAGAGACTATATATATGATTATTAAATTGAGGAGGGGAAGAAGTAATAAAAGTCTCTCAACTGTACAGTGCAAATTGTAAAATTAATGTTTTTTCTTTCAGCGTACTTTAATCCAACAGACAGCACCAAGCTCCTGACTACAGACCAGAGGAACCAGATCAGGGTTTAGCTTTTGTACCTTAGGGTACTGCCCCAGTGACAGCTTTGTACCTGTGTAAAGGTAAATTTTAGCATTTGCATATATACACAGATTGCAGTAGATAATTGTAAAAGATGCAATTTTGTCAACTGCTGAGATTTTCTCCTCTGTTCGTCCAGATGGGACCTGGAGATGCAATATCAGGCATGAAGTTTAACCAATTCAACACCAATCAGCTGTTCACCTCATCTATTTGGGGTGCTACCACCCTTCGGGATTTCAGTGGATCGGTTGTACAAGTCTTTGCCAAAACAATTTAATGGTAGTAAGCGAGTTCCTTTATTAGCAGTTATGGCTGTTCTCCCATTTGCTTTCAGAGAAACATAGACCAGACAGAGATTTGAAATGCTTTAAACAAGCATTTTTCCTTAATTTGATCTGATCCTTGTCCATTTCTGTTTATTCACCTGAATTATAGTACAGTAAGTGTGCAAGTTTAACATCAGTTATCAATGTTTGATTCAGTTGGCTCTTAAATATGGAGGAACTTGCCTGTGTTTGAAATTTAACACAGTTTTAGTGTTACCAAGATATAAAATTGAGTTCCATGCCATATATAAAGAGGGCATTAAATGTATTCTATTCGTGCATATTTTGGTCTCCTGATTGGTATGAAGTTAGATAAACCCTGTGATAGATCAGAGGATGAAATCATTTGATTGTATGTGTGACAGTATGCTCATTGTGCTTTGTCATTGATTATTCTTCTTTTAATTAAACGTAATGTTCTATTAGACTTTAGGTTATCTAAGATAAATCTGTTTTATCATTAATGTTGTCCTTCCATATTTGTGGAATGTATTGTGAATGTTGGTGTGTTATTGGCTGTGTTGAAGAACATTGTTTGTTTTTATTTCCTTCATGTTGTTGTGTCGGTTTAGTTGCTGTATAAATCTTTAATCATGTTCAACCCATAGTCCTCCCTGTATGTAGATCTAACAAGCCTGTGTTTGTCTATTGTGTCCATGCAGAAGGGAGCTGGTGACTTTATAGGGGGGATGAAGTTCTGCCTCACAGATGTGTCCAAAATCTTTGTTGCTTCTGGTGATGGCACAGTAAGCGTGCAGAGTTTAGAGGGCCTCCAAAGTCAGATATTGTCTCGAACCCCAGATTGTGGCCATGACCACCATGATCTTTGGTGAGGACAGTGCTTGTGTGAACGCTTGTGGATTGCCCTGCAGTGTTGGGAAATCAAATATACTTTACATATTTACATAATGCATGTTTATGTTCAGTATTTCATATTGCTGTTCTGTAAAAACAGTTGCCTTTCAGCATGCAGTATAGATCGATTGTTGATTTGTCTGAGATTGTTTGCCACATTTGTCTCTCAGAAAGTCTCTGCTTCTTTGAAAAGGTGTGATCACTGCCATTTTATAAAGCTGTCTGATATATCTTTTTTCAAAAACATTTAGATTTTCAAAGAGAAGCTGCACAAAGCCAAAGTGACCCATGCAGAATTCAACCCTCGTTGTGATTGGCTGATGGCTACATCCTCTGTTGATGCTACAGTCAAGCTGTGGGACCTCAGAAATATTAAAGACAAAAGCAGTTATATCGCTGAATTGCCTCATGAAAAACCAGTCAATTCTGGTGAGAGGCTATATAATCAGTAAAGTGAGGAGGGGAAGAAGTAATAAAAAAATGTCTCTCAACTGTACAATGCAAATAAATTGAAATTAATGTTCTTTTTCTTTTAGTG